ATAATAATTTTTCAAACATTAATTAATAAATTGGCCAGATTAATTAATTAGAACATTCAACAATTACTAGCAACTTAACATTTTAATTAATTAAATTTAATACTCCAACATAATTATTTTTCCTACATTCCTACTACCCTAATTTCAATTCACATTCCTAATATGTTTAAAAAGACATAGTAATAATAAAAAGTGCAAAAGTTGAATAACAAAACATTTTTATAATATTAATTAAAGAAACTTACAACTTCCAGAAAAGCGGAATTGGAACAGAACTGGAACTGAAACTCCCAAAATAAATTAAAACTACAATTCTTATAACTATTTTCGCTGCTATAGAGAGGAAAAAACGAAGAGAGAATGAATGATGGATGAAGCTGATCGACGCTGCCTTTTATAGGCCTAGGAATCTCCGGGGCGGGGTGTGGGGCGGCCGCCCGGAAGGTCGCCCTAGAAGGAATATCCGAATATTCCGCCCCAAGTTGCTGTCAGTTGCGATTAGCTACCGTTTGGATTCCGGGGCTGGGTCCGGGGCGGGCGCCCCGCAGGTCGCCCCGCAGTCGATAAAATTATCTCCGCAGAAACGTCCGCCACTTGCTTATATCTGACATTTGGATCCCGGGGCTGGGTCCGGGGCGGTCGCCCAGCAGGTCGCCCGGCCCAACCTTGGATTTTGGGCTTCGAATTTCTGTGGCAAGTTCCATATTTTGTGCTGAACATTTTTCTCTTTTGTTTGCACATTTTCATTGATCATTTTAGAAAATAAAATATATTTCTCACCTCTTATTTTGTAGAATTTGATGTAGTTTTTAAATATGTAAGTTTATTGATTACTCCCTCCGTTCCTTTAAACACTTCCTATTTTGACTTTGGGACAAAATAAGGAAAATGTAATTTTGGTAGACTTTCCAATTTTGCACCTAATGTGATTGATAAAAGTAAGATATGATAGTTTGGTTATTAGTAAAAAAAATATGATGTGATAGGTAGGGTATGAAAAAGTAAGGGTAAAAGTGGTTTTTTAATAGAAAGTGAAAGTGTTTTAGGGAATTGGAAAAAAACAAAAGGGGAAGGATTTTATGGAACGGAGGATTATTTCTTTACCAATTTGTAAACAATGTCATTTTAAAAATCAAGAGGTTCTAAACGTGATTCATAGTGAATAACTCATTTTGAATTCTTTACCAATTTGTAAACAATGCCTCTTTATTTTCAAAAAGAGGCATACTACGCAATAGATATTTCTGAGATTTGTAAATACATTGATATCAGGGTTGGGCAGGTTCTGGGACTGTTTGATAGTTTTAAATACCATACCATTATTATGAAAATGGTTCAATACGGTTTCAATTTTATGTCAAAATCCTTTGGTATGTCATTCAGAAATGGGATGGTACCATGACATACTAATGCCAAACCATACCACAATACTTCGATGCTTTGAAAATATTTTTATTTCTAAACAACAATCAACGTAATCAAAAGAAATTGGAGCACTATTTTTATGCATTTTTACTCAATATGTATATTATTTAGATACGATGTTTTGAAAAGAACTCCAATTTGAATTTGAGTTTCAACAAATGAAATTATAATCTGAGTTATTGTGGTCTGAGGTAATAAAGTACTATAAAAAATAACCTTAAGTATGTCGAATTCATACCAAATAAATGTGATTTAAATTTACCAAATTAAAAGATAACACATAAAAATGTATAATTAATTTAATAATATAAATATTTAACATTTTTGTGCTAGTGGTTTAGTTCGGTATTTTCGTTTGAGAACCTCTCTTGTACCATTTTAAAAACAATTCATTTTATTTTGGGATAGAGTTTACTAGAGTTTTTAGAAAACTTACTTTTTAATTTGGTACAATATCGGTGTAGTTGGGAGCAATGTAAGGCTTACTCCCTCCGTCCCTAAATATTTGCTACATTTGTATTCTCGAGGCAAAATATCAACTTTTTTCAATTCATTTTATTTATATATTGGTATAGAAATAAAAATTAAAATTTACATATAAAAAAATAATATGAAAAGTTCTTCAAAATAAGAGGTGTTAAGAGTATTTTATTTTATCAAATAACTAATGAAAACATAGAAATAAACAGAAGTTCCTGCGACTACTGAAAAAGCAAACGTCTCAAATAATTTGGGAGGGAGGGAATATATTTTTTTTTCCCACCTCTAATTGATATGCATGCGATCATTTACTTAGTGGGTCCATCTTTCCCATATATCCAATAGAGTGGAGTCCTTGTCAATGAGTGCCGGCCTAGCTAGTGTCTCTCATCTTCATCATCATATTCACTTTTAATATAATGGCTGGGGTAGGGCTCTTCCTAGCTATAACTTTGTTAAGAGGGAGGCAACTCCTAAATATGTGTATGGTACTGCAGGAGAACCATGAAAATAATTAAGGTTCACCTTTTTTAAGAGTAAATTACTTAAAAATTCCTCGGTCGTTTTACATATTTAGTTTCTACATATCAAATATCACTAATTTAGTCTTCAATTATTATATTCATTTTCACGAATAGTCCTTTGTTAATATTTCCATTAAGAACGTGGATAAAATTGTAAATTCACACTCCTTTATCTCCTCAATTAAGCTTCCTCCCTCCACTCGCACTCCTTTCCCAAACCCATCACTGAGTTTGAAGTTTTGAACTCAAAACTGAAATCATCACTCTTCTCTCAATTGTTTGTCTAACTGGTGGAACCCAAATTCAAAATCAGTAACCTTCACGGATGAGTTTTAATGATTACTCCCTCCGTCCCGCTATATTCGTCCACTTTTGACTTTTGAAACTGTTCATGTAAGCACTTTGACTCATCAAATTCTCTCAATGTATAAGCCTAAATATAGTCATGTGTGATCTTGTTTGATTTGTCTTAACATATAAATTATTAACATGTAATTTCTATAATTTTTTAATATATAAATTACAAAATAAAATGGATTAAAGAAGTGTATTGGATGGTGTGCAAAAATGAAAGTGGACAAATACTCTGGGACAGAGGGAGTATTTTTTTTGCAATTTCTTGAGACTAATAGATAAAACTCATCCATTAAGCTTATTGGTTTTGATTTTAGGTTCCAACAGGAAGACTAATAATTGAGAGAGAAATGATCTTTTCAGTTTTGGGTTTAGAGTTTCAAACTCAGCGACGAGTTTGGTAAAAAGTATGAGAGGAGGGAGGAAGCTTAATTGAGGAGAGAGAGAATTGAAGTATGAATATACAATTTTATCAATGTTCTTAACAAAAACGTTAACAAAGTACCATTCGTGAAAAATGATATAATAATTGGAGACTAAATTAGTAATATTTTATATGCAGGGACTAAATATGTAAAACGGCCTATAATTGAGGACCTTTTATGAAATTTACTCTTAATTAATTATTCTTAATTCATTAATTTTGATAGGCCGAGTTTCGGGGTGTTACACTCCGTTTCCATAAACCCTTCCTCTTTCATTTTTCCATTTCTCCAAAACTCTTCAACTTTCTATTAAAAAATCACTTTTAACACTACTTTCTCATAGTATGTCTATCACATCATACATTTTCACTAATAATCTAACTATCACAACTTACTTTTGCCCATCACATCAGGAGCAAAATTAGAAAGTCAACTATAAATATACTTTTCTTATTTAGGCTAAAAGTCAAAAGAGTAAGAGTTTATTGAAATGGAGGGAGTAGATATTTAAAAGTCAAAAGAAGATGTGATATAATTTTATTATTTTATGAAAAGAGGAACAAAAATAGACAAATAAAATAATAAAGTTTAACTCTGTAAATAGTAAATATGAAGAAAATTTGTTCAGAGAGGGAGTAGTAGAAGTCCCACGTGGAATGAGATTGACATATACATAATACATGCATCATCAGAATGCCTCCTTTTTGAGGTGGAACGCCCATCCCGAGTGCTCTCTCAACCTGGCTCGACAAATAGTAAGAAGTATAAATCATTGTATAAGCTTTGTTTGGTCCTTAGAGAGGCCACCTCGTGTCCGGTGCGCACAAGAAGCTATTACAAAGATTAAAAGTCCCACACGGCCAAGGTTCAATCCTAGGACCTTAGGCATGAGGTCCTCCCCTGCGACCAACTAAGCTACCCTTGTAGGCATCAGGATGCCTTTTTTGTTTTCTATACACTCCTTCCGTCTCACATTATTCTTTTGTCTCCTAGCTATATACTCCTTCCATCTCAATTTACTGTTCCCATTTGAAAGAACGTGCAAAAGTCTATCTCTTTTTTTTAAAAAAAATTACAAACTGATAAAAAATGTAAATTACACTTTTTAAAACTATATCAAATTTTTTACAAAACAAGATGTAACAAAAATATTTTATCTTATCAAATCATAATGAAAACTTGCATACAAAAATAAGGAATAATGCTAGGGGCACACCAAATGTTATACTCCCTATGTCCCTAAATATTTGTCACACTTGTATTCCCGAGGCAAAATATCAAGTTTTTTCAATTCATTTTATTTACATATTCGTATAGAAATAAAAAATAAAGTTTACATATAAAAAAACTAGATGAAGAGTTTTTCGAAAGAAGAGGTGTCAAGAATATTTTATTTTATAAAATAACTAATGAAAACGTTGAAATAAACAAAAGTTCTCGCGACTGTTGAAAAAGTAAGTGTTGTAAATATTTTAGGACGGAGGGAGTACCATATTTGTACACCATAAATTTTCACTATTCATTCTTTATCTACTCATTAAATTATTCCATCTATCCTAAAACGTTCTTTCCAGTTACTATTCACACGGTCAAAGTTTAATCACTTTCTTTACCTATTTTCGATAGTTATTTAATAAAATAATATAGTCTTGTCATCTCTTATTTTGTAGAACTTTTGATATAGTTTTTAAATATGTAACTTTTACTTTTTAATTTACAGCCACAATCAAATACATTGAATTAAAAATAAAGTCGTTCAAACATCGTAAACAGAAACGGAAAGAAGGTTCTAAAACGGAGGGAGTTTTTTTACCCATGTATAATGTCACATTATCAAAATGCAAATCTTATTTAAGGATTAAAAATACGAAACTTCTATTTTAATACGTTCTTTTTGTTTTACTGTGGAACAAAATTTTAAAAACAAATTTAAAGTAATTCGAGAAATGTAAGATGAGCAATGCTAGGGGTACACCAAAATATGTACCCCAAATGTACACCACCCCTTCTTCACCATACATTTTTATTTGATTTTTATTTACTTATTTTTTTTAAAATTGTTTTGCGTTTTTTGGTGTACCCTGGCATTTTTAACGTAAGATCTATATAAAACACGGTCGTGAGATGTAAATCGCAACAGTATTAAGCTATGCGCACGGAAACGGCTGAGGCCGTCATAAATAACGCTGTTCACAAATTCGAATACGGATAGGGCGATAACTAGCCGTTACTTACCTTCTACATCTCAAAAAACAAATACACCGAAATCCATTCACGTGTCCTCTCAATCTCCATCTCCCTCCCAGCGTGAAATCTCCTGAAATTACCAAAAATAAAAACAATTCTTCACTTGATCTTGGTTTCTCACTTCTGCGTTAAACTTCCTGTTCCAAGAACCCAATTTCAATTTGTTCATACTCCGTAATCTGCAAGAGCTCTTCCTTCTCGGGTAAATTCTTCATTTCTTCTTGGCTATCTCTCCTGTATAGACTGTGTACTGTTCGTTAATCTGGATTTCCGTACAACATTGTATTCTTCAGTCCATACAAAATCTTGATATTGTCCGAAACTTCAATGTTTCCAAGATTGGTCTTTTCAGTATGGGCTTCATGATTTCTTGATGATAATGTGAGCGTTTGATTAATTGCGTATAGCATTTTGCATTTGGCCTTTGGGTGTGGTAACACAAAGTGTTCTGTCGTTTGACTGAATA